AGGTACACAAAAATAAAAACAACAAGAAAATACCAAAAATACTAAATACATAGTCTAGAAATACACAGAAATGCATTCAGATGCATGTCATAAATACAAGAAAAATACAAGAAATACACGTGAAGTGTAGACAAAAACACAAGTTGGACTCCCCTTGGTCCAGAGCAAGCGGTGCGTACAAAAACATAGCCTTTCCTGGTTCAAATTAATAGGCCCTATTTGGAGGGTGACAGGGGGCTCTACAAGGTGTGAGACGGAAGCCCGGGTGGGACTTGACAGAACTGGCCATGTCTCCAACGCGACTCGGTAGCAGGTTCATCCTAACGCGGGGCGGGGCGGGGCGGGGGCGTTGAGGTCGATACGACTCCAATCAATACATGTCCGCAAACACGCATCTCCGCGCCCCGCCCCGCCCCTATAGCATGGCACCTACCCTAGAGGTGGGGGACCCTCGAGCAGGTGCCACATGCCGGGCACCGCCTGTCCACGTGGTCGCTCAGGCAGGGCAGGGCCGCGGGATAACGCCACGCCACGCCACGCCACACTAAGCCGAGCCACGCGGGCCGCCGCGGGCCGCGAGCCGCTTGTGCCCCGCGGACACCTTCATACTTCAGAGAGACAAAAAATAATCAAAAAGCACACAGAACACAAAAAAGCAAAGCGAGAAAAAATGCGAGCAGATAGTCTGGTCCGGGCTGCTGTCGGGATGGGGGGGGGGGGACAATACACACAAATTGGCACGCGAGGCGGATTTAGAATTCGGATGCGCGCGGGCCGTGCTAATATTTGACAACGTGCCCAAGACATTCCTTTATTGAGGAGGGGAAGGGGGAAGTGATCTAGGTGTCTTGTGATACAAAGCAAATCACACGAATCCCCACTTCGGATTCAAGGAACCGAACTCGAGGAGGCGACATTATCTACTTATCGGGGAGAAGAATTACAATAAGAAGCTACAAATGACAGTGTTGATCCCCGGCGGCCCACGCGGCTCGGCACGGGCCTACTGTACTCTCGCGCCTACCGCAGCCTACTGTGCGCGGGCCGGGGCCCGGGGGCCGGGGCCCGGGGGCCGGGGGCCGGGGGCCGGGGGCCGGGCGCAAGTACAGGGCCGGGCGGGGCGCGGCGGTTCGCGCCAGATTACAGATTAATCGAGAGATCATCGATTAGCGTTCGAGTACGTTGCCCACATACCCGGATCGGATTTCCTCTCCAATATGGGACACGGCGGGACATGCATTTTGTGAAGGCGAGACGGGAATTCGTCATTGTTGTCGCATCACCCGCAAAAATGCATCATCATCTTTATTTCTATTCCCGATGGCAGAGCCATGTCGGTGTCGCCCGCGGCCCCCGCGGTATGCGCGCCACGCGTCCGCCGGCTGGAGGCTGGGCCGGGCGCCCCGCCGCGCCCACGGCACGGGCCCCGGGCACCAGCGGCACAACAACATTGGAAAAGTTGCAGGCGCGTTGGACGGACGGACCACGGCGGACGCCACGACCCTCCACACCCACGGGGGCAGCACGCACAGACACCGTGGTGGTGGTGTCCCCGGGGGCGGGGCGGGGCGGGAGGGGGAGGCACCACAACATACAGGCGCTTCCATCACGCGGCGCCCCCCGAGCCGCGGCCCCGGCGGGGAGGGAGGGAGCGAGAGGCAGCGGTGGATGGAACTTCCCCGACCAAATAGGCTTGGGGCGCTACTAATGCAATCTGCGGGATCACATTGGATTCTCCTCGCCGCGCTAGTGCTGCGGTGCGGCTGGCGCGCGGGGGGCTTCGCGATGTGTTGTATACCGGGTGTATCTGCGCACACGCCACGGGGTAGGCAAGCCCGCGCAACGCTCCGCCCGGGGCGTGGCTCGCACACCGACACACCCGGTGCAAGCGTCATTAGAGACCAGGTAGTAGAGGCCCCGGATCGGTGGGTTCGTAGTGAAATTCTGACCCAAGCTATTTCGGTTACTTTACCCGCCCAACCCAACCCAGTCTAGACCAATGCGACCCATACGCATATCAGTTGGGTCTGTCAGACCCACCATGGGCCACGCGGGTCCAGTCTGCGCGAGCCTGGACCCACCTGACCCGTCTGGGTCGTTTGGGTCGGCCTACCAAAATTTCGTTCCCCGCCCCGCACCTCCCTGCCCCTCGCCTGCAGCCGAGTGTAGCGCCAGCTAGCGGTGACAGGTGCAATGCTACCTTTGGGTCGCTTGGGTCAAGCGAAACCACGCTAACCCATTCCGGCCCAAGCGACCCAACAAACCGAGCTAAAAACCGCGCGGCCCACCGGACCCGTACAGGCCACATGGGCCAGTGTCACATGAAATCGGGCCACTATGCGCAAATATTACGAAGAGGTAGGCGCTGACCCAACCGACCCACCGATGCGGGGCCTCTACCAGGTAGACAGCTGAGCGCCGAGCTGACGGTCGGGGTCGCTGTGGTGTAAACAGAGCAAGAAGGAGCGGCCGGCCTTGGCTAGCACGCCGTCGAGACAGCGGCCGCCGCCCGGGGTATAAAACAAAATGATAAACCGAGAGGAGGGTGAAATTCCAGACTTCGAGCTCGGGTCCTCAGAGCGGGGGCGGCGGGGCGGGCAGGGAGAGAGGGCGTGCGGCGTGCGGGGGAGGGCAAAGTTCGAGACGAGTCATGCCCCCTCTCCTCTCCTCTCCCCCGCCAGCCCGGCCCGCCCACCTGCGCGTCCCTATGGAGGTACTACCTGCTTGCTGGACGAATTAATGGGGGACCCTAATTTCGTCGAGGCTGGGGTAACACACACACACTCACACAACGCCTAATTGCCCAGGGGAGTGCGTGGGGGGCTATTTGGTCTGATAGCCGCGCAGACGCAGACGGGAGGAGATGGAGGAGCCCAGGGAATAAAAGGCAGGGAGCAAAGGCCCCCAAATGTTGAGGGTCGTGTCCGAGCCGGCGCCGCCGGTAGCTCGGGGCGTCACCCTGGTGGGCAGGCACGGCCACGCCCCGCCCGCTGGCCTCGGCCACGGCCGCGCTAACAGGTGGCCTTGCACTGCGGGGCGGGGGGCGCCGCCAGCGCTCGTCCGGGCCTAAAGGACCCTCCCGCAGCGGGAGGGCGGGCGCGGGAGGCGCGGGGATCTGCCCCTGGAGCTCATCGATTCAGCCGGGCGGGGGGGCGAGTCCGCGTGGGTGGAGCGCGCTAGAGCGCGAGCAGGGGGTGGGGGCCGCGAGGCGGGTGGCGGAGGAAAGAAGAGCACACGCGCGAAGCACGGCAGGCCATAGGCAAAGCACGCCGGGACCGTACGAGACGGGATCCATCTAATTTTAGGAGCGCAGCGAAGACACAGCAAGCGGAAAGGCGAGGGGAAGTGGCCGCGGCGTGGGCGCGAGGGGGTCGGCGGGGGGAGGAGACGGGGATGGGGCTAGCCATTTTCCCTTCGAACCATCGACCCCCTCTTTCTGCCCTACAGCCTATAGGGACATTGGCGGGGAGAAGGTGGGGGGGATGGGTGGCCCCACAGGGAAAGGGCTCAGGAGGGAAGCGCGGAGGGGCGGGGCAGAGAATTCAAGGACACCGCCAGCGAAGGCCGCGGTGTGGGGAGGGGAGTGCAGGCTGCTCCGTCGCTGTACAACCGAGTAGAGACAAGTGCCTGCCTGGTTTCCCACCCCTGACCCTCGACCTTTGCCGGCGCGGTGCGTCGCCGTGCCGTGCGCCAGGTCGCCGTGCGCCAGGTCGCACCGGAAGTCCCGAGGGCGCGACGCGCAGTCAGGAAAAGCCGCGGCGATGCCGCCGCTGGCCTCTGGCGGCCCTGCGCTGATAACGTGGCGCGCACTTGCACCCCGGCCGCCGTCCGTGAGCGCGAGCGCGAGCGGGCGCCGTCCTCATCGTGGACATGACGTCCAGCAGCGCTCGAAAACAAAAGTGCGCTCAATGAGGAATAGAAGTATGGGCGAGAAAGTGCCTTCTAGAGTTGGTTGGAAAAGAAAAGACAAGCCCACCCGCAGCGGCGGCGGCGGTGGTAGTGGTAACCCTGATAAATATTGATGTCGTGGGGAGGCGGGGGAGGGTGCGGGAGCGGCCGCGCTGAGGGGAGGGGGAGGGAGTGCCAGGCGAGGGTCCCCAAGTCCCTGGTGCAGTCCCTCCCTGCCCCGCCGCCGGTGCGGAACGCACAGACTAAACCCTGGAGGGAAAAAAAATGGGAAAAAACATGGGCCGGGTGACGAGACTTGCCGAGAGTTCGGAAAACGAGTTGTGTGGGGCATATGGTGGGTTGCTGCGCCACCTTTCGGAAGCTCTTAGCCGGGGCTCGCCAGGCCAGCGGGAAAGTGCCGTGCCCTACCCTAACACTATCCTTTCTAACAAGCTTTGAGAAAAGCTGGTCCAGAAAAAATATTCTGATTACAGTTTTGATTTATTTTTAGACGAATCCTGAAGTAATAGGGAAGATTAGGGAGTGCAAAGCAATGAAGAACACACAGAGGAAATTAATTTTGACTTGATTAAGCATCAGAAAAAAATAACCTATTGATTTTGAAAGAACAGTGTGTGCCCATATTTTGGCATTTTCATTTTGATCATAAGATTTGGTTAGAAAGTTAAAAGTTTTCATTCATGACTGCAGTAGTTCAGATATGCAACAGGGGTCCCCTCTATAAATCACATACATATGATTGAACAATTAGTTGCTTCTTAACATCCCAAAACATGAGAGGTAGAAGTACTAATAGATCAAGTTATTTATAAGTATTTAATCGCATTTGACGTAGTCTGACAACACTAACAGAACCCCGGGGCAACAAAACTAACCCCAGTAAAGTTCACTATGCGCGTCTACTAGTTATCCGTTGATGTGGAACGTCAACAGAAGCGGCAATAAACAAGCAACTCGTGTAAACACTAGAACTGTTCAAAAGACGGAATGACAGGGGGCAATATACATGACTGACACGAAGTGAAATGTGCGGGGACATGTTACCAGACGACACGGCCGCACAGCCATCCACAAAGATGTTCACTTTTTACCTCTTATCGGGAACGGTTTAGTCTGGATGGTCTCTGATGATGGTGGGATATACGTCTTCTTCTCGGGCGACATTGGTGGTGAGGGATCAGAACTACATTTCACGGTGCGCAGTTCGGAGTAGTCACACACGGAGACGGGACTGTGTAGCGCCATTGATCTACACCGCGGCCAGCGAACAGCGTGTGAGCATGGTCTGTTTGACAACTGACGCAAGGCGGACGGTAGTCGGACCGATCTTGCCATCCGCTCTCCCACCAATCCCAGGACCACCCTCGACTCGTCGACCAATCACAGGTCGAGAAGAAAGAGACAAAAGACGGTCGTAAACCGCGCCATGAGCGCCAACTGATTCGCATACCTCCGTTAGGATATACCTCCATGAATGGGACAAGGGGTAGTTGACTTGAGGTTGTTGACTTACGAACAGTGCTACACTGGCGAAACTGGGGCTGTTAGAGTGAAACTGGAGTGAGCCAGGCGTGGGATTTGTGTAAGTACTGACGAAATCGTTAAGGGATCAACTTGCCTGCCTGTCATGGCACGGCGAGCGCGGCGCGCAGTTCAAATGTACCGGCCGACCGGTCGGTCGAGAACCCGACGATGAAGCATCGCAATCCGTTTCCTCCATTCAAATTCTCTTTAGGTGATAATGAATTACATGGATTTATATATGAATCATTTATTAACTTAATGGGCACTTGCAAATTTGCATAAATGCCAATCACAACTTTCATGAGCACTTACACTGACACAGGTCTCACAGAATATTTGAATGCAAGTGCTACATGAAAACCAAATAGTTAACATTTCTACAAAGCATTCGATTCATTTGTCCAAAATTCAATAAAAGTTAAAACGACACTGATTCAATCAAGACCCAATATGAGCCTTGTCATTTAAAAAAAAAAATTAAAAAAATCAACTAAAAATGATATCAAATTACTTCTTTAAAAAAAGGGTGAACTTTTAATAAATTAAATACAATTAGTTTCACAATTTACCTTCATAAACAATGCCTGTTCAAGGAAATACTAAGCGGATACATTAGGAATTGTCCTATCAGCTCCCACTTACATTCTTCTAGGAGGGAGAGCATGAAATACAAAAATATCCAGTTCAGGCCCAACAATATATTCACGGTTGACAGAAATGCAATAATCACATCAGCATAGTGAATACCAGAAGTAAAATTAAAAATTAAGCCCTTTAGCAATGAAAATGAGTTGGTCTTGACTTGGCAGAGATAACAGGAAAGATAGCAAGGAAGCCAAAACAAAAAAACAAAATCAAAACTTCAGAATGTTAGACTTATGTGGAATATCCAGTTCTATCTTTGGTTTTTTCAGTGCAACAGTCACAGAATTCAAAGTGTCAGTTATAAGGGCCTCTGATTAAAAAATTTACTCAAGCAAATTTTTTTTTAAGTGATCAGGGTGCTTCACAGTACAAATAACTACTGAAAGAAATATCTATAATTAGACAAATGAACGAGATAGGAATGGGTTGACTATTATTAGCAGTAAAATCCATAAGCACGGATAAATCAAAGTAATACAAAATTATGTACGTACTAGAAGTGGATATAAAAGGGAGAGAAAGGTACTTCTTTATCTAATTTGAAAGAACTAAAAATCACAATCATTAATATGCCAATTCCTTGATGGAATAAATAGATGCAATATCAAAAATTTATGTTGGAGACGTGTACATTCTAGACAAAATACTATGCGGAAGGTGCGTTTACATTTCACTTTAGAGCTCTCATGATGATGGTTTGATGAAAAGGAAAGGTCTACTTTATCAAAGTAGAGTGCAATACCAAGGTCTGATTATGACATTGGAAAAAATAAAACATGGACACAACTGAAATGATTCCTTAAAATGTAAGATTCCTAAGCATTTAGTAACATCTGCTAGAAAAATGCTTATATTTTAAAAGGAAGTCCATGAAATACTTTACAGGCGATAGTAACAGAATACGCGAGAAAATTCACAGGCCACTCTTGAGATCCAAGGACATGACACCAAAACAGAGTTTTTTTTTATGAAAAATAAAAACAAAGATGAAAGAGAATGAAACAAAAATTGCACATTTACCACACCAGCAAGTGTAGAATGTTGACACCATCCACCAATTTGTCTTTTCAAACACCATTTTTAATCTAAACCTTCCACTCGCTACTAAATCAGTATTTCCTCTTAAATTCTATTGAGAAATTTTCAACCACATTATCACTGCATACATATGCTGCACAAGAGACTGGAGTCTATGTATCACCACACCAAGCTCAAATCAAGCCACACCAATAACTGCAAAAAGAAAAAAAGAATTCAGATTATTGATTGATTGAAACAAAAGGTTCCAAAAATTAAAATGAGGTCTCTTACCTTAGTATCAACATACTTCCAAACCTAAGCAGCTTTTAAATTCAATTAACTGAAGAGAAAGAACAGAAAAAAATTAGAAAAGCGCATGAGACATTATACATTGTTTAGTGAATGATAAGACTTAGTGAAACATACCATATCCCTGGGAAGTGGGCTGTCCAGGGACAGAGTACTGCGGTCGGAAATTGCCAAAGTTAGCTGCACCAAAGCTGCCTGGAAGCTGTCCAGTTTGGAACCCTGAGGGGAACTGGCCACTAATCATACCTACAACAAATAATTAAGAAATAATTAGATAGAGAAACGATAAATATGTACCCAACACAAAAATGAAAACAAAAAAGTGCATCATACCAGGTTGAGAAGAGGTGGGAGTGCTTGGAGCCGACCCAGCAGTCGTGGCGGCCAATCTTGACAGAATAGACCTTTCAGACATTTGAAGTCGCTGGGCAACAGGAGGGATGCGAGCAAGGGTAGCCGGTAAGCGGCTAACATCTGACTTCATGTCAGACAGCAGCTCCTCAAGTTGGTTTAAAACCTGGAAGTGATAGTAAAAATAATAATCTGAGCGAAAGCAAAGAGGGATTTAACAGATAAGTAGGTTGAATCAGACTGGTAGAATACCTTGTGAAGAACTGCATTCGCTGGCTTGTTTCCCGCCAGGGATTCTTTACTGAGATGCTGATGAGATTCAGCTAAACATTCAACTTCTGCAAATCTAGCATTTAAGGACATTGCAGGGTGGTTTGGGTCTTGTGTTAAGTTGAGGTAAGCGGCTCTCCGCAACTGTTCCTCTATCACCAAGGCCTGTTCCAAAAGTTTAAACCTTCTTGCTAAGAATTTGTTCTTAATTTCCAGGAAGTTGCCTTTACCAACATCCATTTTGAAGGGTTCATTGATGATGGCAAACCGGATGTCAGCTTGGATATCTTGCCAGCGACCATAACCATGAGTTACAATGCCTGCTAACAACCAGTAATCATGCCGTCTATGCCAGATTTCATATTCCCTTCCAGGAACTGCCGCTTTCTCTTCATTGACCCACAAGGTATGGAGCTCAGTGAAACCACCATCTGCAATATTGAACATGAACTTCCGCTTTGCCTTTTCCAGCTCCTCTTCCAATTTCTTCTCATCAACCTTGACTTTTTCAACATCTTTAACAACAACAATATCGTCATCTTCCTCTTTAGAATCCTTCTTATCCTCTTTTTTATCTTCCTTAGCCTCCTTCTTCTCATCTTTCTCCTCTTTATCATCATCCTTTTCAGTTTTTACAGCATTTTCAACCTTTTCTTCTTCTCCTTCTTTCTCCTTACTTTCGGTTTTAACAGCTGTTTCTTCAGCCTCTTTCTTTTCAGATGTCTCTTCAGGTTCCACCTTTTCTTTTGTGTCTTTCTCAGCATCGACTTCAGGTTCAGCCTTCTCTTCCTTGACTTGAACTTCTTTCTTTTCTTCAGTACTTTCTTCCTTCACAGGAACTGATTTTTCATTATCCTTTTCACTCTCTATTTTCTCCTGCAAAATAATTAAATTATGTCACCAATATTAGAAGTCTGGTCAAGGAGCTTCACAACAATAATTCATTTGAAAGATGCAAATATTTCTTACCTCATCAACTTCCTTCTTTACTACAGCTTCACTATCCTTAGCATCAACAGCAGTAACCTCTCCATTCTTTTCTCCCTCTTCCTTCTTGTCTTCAGGCTTAGCTTCATCTTCAGCTTCAGTGTCCTTCTTGGACTCTTCATCCTTCTTGGTCAAATCTTCAGCCTATGGATATAATTTAGGAATTAGGTTTAAAATGTTGGTAAGTAAAATTCAACACAGCACAAGAGCCACATTTTACACAGAGCATCGGACAAGCGAGCAACCCTGATCTTTGACCCAAAGATGCTGGATCTTTAAGTGCTCAATAGTGTGCAACGTTTATAATTTAATAACAGTACAAGCTGGCTTTAACTACACATCTGCTGAAATTACCTCTTTATCTTTGTCCTTTTCTTTGTCCTTGTCATCTGCAGCACCTGGAGTTGGAGTGGGGACCGGGCTAGCAGATGCACTAGTGGCTGGTGTGGCTGACACACTAGAGGCTGCAGAAGCGGCTAGAGAAGCGGCAGCAGCGGCAGCGGCAGCATCTGCAGGTCCTGGAGGAGGAGCAACACCGGCTGCAGCCGCTGCACTCTTGACGGCAGCATCCACAGGTTTGCGAATCAATTCAGGCATGCTGTAGTATCCATTGATCTCTTCAAACTCTTGAACCTATGGTACAAAATAACAAAATACATACTTATTTTACATGATCACACTTTAAAAGTCAACGATAACTTCACAAATGTAAATCAAACCTACCTTCTTTCTGATCAGGGACATAACACCAATGCGGGTAAGCACATGCTGTCTGCTCAAACCTTCCCTAGGCACACCATCAGCAAATGTCTCAGCATTGTCTGCCCCAGGTTCACAAAGATGCCGCATAAAGAGAGAAACATAGGCTTTGAAGTTCTTCTCTGACTTTCCACGAAGATCACGGACAAGCCATTGAGAGTTAAAAGCATCCTGAGGTGGCATGCCATATCTCATGATAGCATTAAGGAATGCTTTCCTTTGCCTTGCATTGAAGCCAAGCACCTCAATATTTCCACCAACTCGGGCAAGAAGGGGAGGCAGTGGTCTATCCTTCTCATCTCTTCTTTCAGGCCGCCTCCTACTCCTCCGGCCACCTCCCTCGCCATCACCCTTCTCGTCAAAGTCATCATCCTCCTTGTCATCATCCGATGGAGCAGAGAAATCAGAATTGTAGTCGGAGAGGTTTTCTTGCCATGTTGTATCCTCTCCTCTACCTTCCACAGCACTATCGATGTAATTGACCTGTTTCCGTACACGCTTTCCTTTACCAAGAGTTCTAGCAATATCCTCTTGCTGCTGTTCATAGTGATGGCGGAGCAGTTTCACCCAATATGCTGGATCAGTATTTTCAGCTTCTTGCTTAATTACTTCCGTTACCTCCTCTTCATCTTCACCTTCTTTGGTGTTATAACTGGCAACCTTAAATGACGACAAATATTCATTGGCCCAGTTCTCTTTCTGCTCAATTCCAGTCTTAGATCTCTCCAAGAGTTCATCGATAGCTTTATCGGTATAATGGATAGCATCATCTTCCTTGCCTTCCTCTTCTTTGAAAAGTTCCTCAGTACCAAACCTCAGGATGTCATCCAACTCCTGTTTGGTGAAATTGGTTGACTTCCCACCCATTCCTGGGCGCACAACAAGATGAGTAAGCATCATTTTGCGCTTGGCAACTTGAGTTACTCTCTCTTCAACTGAATTCCTGGTCACAAAACGATAAATCATGACCTTATTTGCCTGACCAATACGATGGGCACGGGAGAAAGCCTGAATATCATTGTGAGGGTTCCAATCTGAATCGTAAATAATAACAGTATCTGCAGTAGCCAAGTTGATACCCAAACCACCAGCACGAGTGGAGAGTAGGAAAGCAAACTGTTGAGCTTGAGGAGCATTGAATCTGTCAATGGCTTCCTGACGGAGTGTACCAGTAATACCACCATCAATGCGTTCATATTTGTAACCTTCTCCTTCCAGATAATCCTCCAGTAGATCCAACATTTTGGTCATCTGAGAGAAGATTAAAACACGATGTCCCGTATCATGCAACTTTCGAAGCATTTTAGACAAAAGGCTCAATTTTCCTGAAGCCTTAATTAATGCGTTGACTTCATACTGGCCATTTGCATTGACAGGAGCCTCAGCCGCAGCCACAGGGAAAAGGTATGGATGGTTACAACATTTTTTCAAATCCATCATAATGTTGAGGAGAGACATTTGCTGACCACCACCTCTAGGATTAAGAGCTTCAAAGTTTTTGGTGAGGATGAACTTGTAGTATTTCTTCTGCATGGCTGACAATTCAACTCTGACAATAAATTCAGATTTAGTGGGCATGTTCTTCAAGACGTCAGCTTTCAGACGCCGCAGCATGTGGGGACCCAGCATGTCATGCAGTTTTTTAACTTGCTCTTCTTTGTTAATGTCAGCAAATTCGTTTTGGAAAGAAGCCAAATCATTGAATTTCTCATGACACATAAAGCTTAAAAGGTGGAACAATTCTTCTAAGTTGTTTTGTAGAGGTGTTCCAGTCAATAGGAGCTTGTAAGCAATATTATAACCAGCCAAAAGCTTGAAAAACTGAAAAAAGCAATAACAATTAGATTAGATAAGAAAACTTATAGAAATACAAATTGTATTCACTTTATGATGGTCTTACCTTGGATTGATTACTCTTCAATCGATGAGCTTCATCCACCACAAGAACGGCCCAGTCAATTGATCCAAGGCAAGCCACATCAATTGAGATCAATTCATAACTGGTTAGCAAAACATGGAATTTAATTGTGTTTGATCGGATGCGACCGGCGCGGTTACCCCGGACTGCACCTTCTTCAAATGAAAGTTCGTGCTCCCTAATTACAGCACGGGCATCTTTGTCACCAACATAAGTAACTACATAAAAGTCAGGAGCCCAAACTTCGAATTCTCTCTCCCAATTAATGATGGTAGAAAGAGGGGCGCTGACCTAAAAATGAAAAAGAAGTGAAAAAAACAACTTGAAGGACAAACTATAGTGACACAGAAGGTGAGAAAAAAATTAACTTACAAGGAAAGGTCCTTTGCAGTGTCCTTCCTTATACAAAGAATATAAGAAAGTAATGGTTTGAATGGTTTTTCCAAGACCCATTTCATCAGCAAGAATGGTGTCAGTTCCTTGACCCCAAGAATACCGCAACCAATTCAAACCCTCCAGCTGGTAAGGATGAAGGCACATACCAGTTACATCTAAGTACTCAGGTTGTTTGTCAAATTTGCGTTTCAAGTCTGTTGAAGGTTTCTCAGGAGGAGGAATAAATCTTCTCCTGCAATAAAAGTGAACAGTGTTTAAAGGTGGTGTCACTTGTTTGATTGATCAAGTTCATGAAGAGTTAGGTGTGTTTGAATTCAAGACCACACAATGACCAAGCATTATACTTACTGAGGTCTGTCACCATCATAATCACTCTCCTTTGTCCTTGATTTTTTGCCTTTCTTGGATTTTCCAGACTTCTTACTGCTACCGCCATCAACACCACAAGCAGCACGGAGGTCCTACAATTTTTGTTTTGGTAATACAATGCAATTTGAGGTTTTATGACAAAGAGGACAAGACGATTTACTCACCATGTAATACTCTACAGCTTGTTTCAGACCGTTAATATGGTCATCATCTTCTTCCCAAGTTGCACTATCATAGGCTAAGTCACGCCATTTCACAAGATAAAGACAGCGACCATCACGCATTATGCGATGATTTAGCACGCGGTGGACCTGGAGCCATTCAGGCTTAATACCGTACCTTTAAGAACAAAATGATGAGAAATGATTGATTAGCTAAGGGAAGTAGTCAATGTCAAATAAAAGAAGGAAGTATTAAGCAACACAGTACCTGTAAAACTTCTCTTCCAAAGCCTCTGAGAAAGCTTCTTTGTTGGTTATCCGCTTTCTTCTAGCATCCATTTCATCCAATGGGTCTTCAAGCCTAGGTGGTTCATCCATATCAAATTTACGCATGTAACAGCGGATCATGATGCCATGGAATACTTCCATCTGCAGCTCAGAGATCCAAGAACAGTGCCAGTATGATTTTTCACACCACTTCACAAAATACTCGCGTTGTCTTTGCGGTTTCTTCGTAGGTTTTCCATCACCGTTTTCTTCTTTCTTGTCTTCTTTTTCCACCCAACGCCAGGTGAGAATTTTCTGTACCTTTCCAGGGAGTGGTTTTGCAGAGCATCGTGGGCACTTCCAATCTCCATCAGGAATTTCGGTGAGAGGTGGATTCAGACAGAAAGTATGATATGCCGATGGACAGGAGTCACAACAAAGCAGTTCTCCACCATCTTTGCAAACTCTGCAAAATTCTTGGTGCTCATCATCCTCTTGCTCCTGAGTACCCTCAGCCTCACAATGGGGACAAGACCACTTTCCTTCAGGGGTTTCCTCTAGCTCAGGTTCTAAACACACCAAATGGTATGCCCTGGGGCAAGTATCACAAAGAATAATTTCCCCTCCTTGTTGACAAACTTCACAGTAGTCCTGATGATCAGTTTGTTCTTCATCGCCATCAGGAAACTTTGAGGTGGTTTTGGTCTTTTTCTTCTTGTTCTTTTGACCAATTTTTGTTTTGGCTTTCTTCCGAGGCTGATCAGATTTTTCTTTTTCTTTTTCTTTGTCGTCAGCTTCGACAGCAGCTTCAGGTTCCTCTTCCTTTGTCCCATATTCGTTAAGCATCTGCTCAAATTCAGCATCAGAGTCCTGATCAGACTTGGCGTCGCCATTGTCATCATCATCTGAACTTCCCCTCTTTCTTTTGCTGCCAATTTTGATTTTAATGGTGGGAACCTTCCCTTTTTTGCTGCCACCTGATTTCTTGCTCCGACTTCTACTCTTCTTTCTAGAAGATCTCTGTTCCACTTCATCTTCTTCATCTTCATCTTCATCATTCAAGGCATCTGTATCAGCACCTTTTGATTCTCTTGTGGAGCGTGAGCGGCTTGGTTTAGGTGTGTACGCTTCTTCATTACCACCCTCCTCCTCTTCAGTCTGAGCTCTGGTGTGAGGATTAATTTCCGAAAAATCACGCCATTTGGCAGCAATTAGCATCATTAATTTTCCTATGGGAACCCTCGGGTTTTCTTTACCAAGAAGTGGTCTTACATGCTGTTGGAATAGCTTGTAAGTTGTGAGATTCTGATAGTCGGCCTCAGAGAATTCAATTTCAACATCTGTCAGACCAAATGTTGCACACACTTCATCCACAGATGGCATTCCTGAGAATTTATTAAGACAATAGTAAGAGAAAATAATTTTCTTAAGTGTTTTCAGTACTAATATAGAAAAACTGAACGCATACCTGAAGATTCACTTGGAGTTGCAGAATTGGAGTTAGAAGCAGTCTTCTCCTGTTTCTCCTGTTTTCCTCTAGATTTCCGACTGCCGCTTTTCTTACTGCTTGACGGAGCTGCATCAGAATCTTGAACAGAGTCATCAGGTGCTGCTTCTTGCTGCTCGAATTCAGCCTCCTTTAAGACAAAAAATACAAGGAATGTGAAATACAAAAAAACAGACCAAGAGACCTACTGTAAATAAATTTAAAATTTATTACCTCCTCACTGTCATTCTTCTTCTTCTTCTTTTTCTTTTTACCCTTTTTATCTTCACTCTTTGCCTTTCTTTTCTTTCCTTTCTTACGTTTGCTATGACTTTCTTCAGGTTCATATTCCTCATCATCCTGGAGTAAGAGGTCACTAATAAGACAAGTACATGGATAGAGATAAGGGGAAAAAACACTGTTATGAGGCTACTTACAGCTCGTTTTTCTTCATCGGAGTCATGGGAGGCATCTTCATTTTTGCCAGCACCATCCTCTGCCTCTTCCTCCCCTGGAAAAAAAATAAATGAAAATACAAAAAACATTATAGAAAAACTTGATATCTAAGAGTAGTCATGATGCAGTCAAAAACTTGGTCATTCAGGAATATCCAAGTTCAAAGACAAGAAACATCTACAAAAGTCTGAAAAGAATTC